GGGGGGGGGTGGGAAGGGGAGGAGGAAGGGACAAAGGGAGCAATTGCCACTGGGCCTAGAGTTTCAAAAGGGCCCAGAGCTTCCAGCTACCAATGCAGCCCCTTTGAATTACCCCAAGATCACCAGAGCAACACTCCATGCAGCTCTGAGAGCTAGGAGGATCACACTTCATTCTGGCTACATCTAGACTGCAAGCCTCTTTAGAAAAAGAGCGTCTAGACAACAACCAGTACTTTCAAAAAAGCAGAGCACCCAGGCAGTCTGGATGCTCTCTTTCGAAAAAGCACAGTTTGCATTACATAGCGCCTTTTTTCAAAAGAGCACTTTCGAAAAAAGGCATTCTTCCTCATAAAACGAGGTTTTCCATGATCAAAAATACTGCTGCATTCTTTCGATTTACTTTTGAAAGAATGTGACAGCGGTCTAGACGCAGGGGAAGTTTTTTCGAAAAAACCCTGTAGTCTAGACACACCCTCTGTGTGGTACTAAAGGCTTACAGCTGTCGGCTCTACCCCTTCCACTCCGGGCCTTGCCCCTTTCGGGGGTGTAGAGCCATCCTTCCCTACCTGGCCTTGGGCCCTCAGTGGCTGTTAATGAGCCCGTTAGCCCTGGTCTACACTAGGAAGTTATTTTGAAATAACCCTCCTTATTTTGAAATAATAGGCAGAGCTTCCACATTACCGAACCCATTATTTCAAAATAACGGTCTGGTTATTCCAAAATCTGTACTCCTGCTTTCCTCAGGGAATAATGCTTATTTCAAAATTGTTATTTCAAAATAGCATTAGTGTGAACGCACCACTGCTGCTATTTCAAAATAACTACTCTCCAGAGTAATTCATAGTAATTACTCCCCAGTGCTTCCTGGAGCTCTAAGTCAAGGTAGCATGTCCACAATAACAGAGCCTGCCTCTGACTAATTTCGAGGCTTCCCCATAGTGTGGACATGCCATTTCAATTTTGTTATTTTGGGAGTTATTAAATCGACTTTAGTTATTTCGAAATAGTTTGAGTGTAGACATGCCCTTAGTAGCCTCCGTAGAACAGCAGTGTATGCATGTAGCTAGGCCTTGTGTGTTACATATGATTAACAAATCTTTAGCTTGTTTTGTCACATTATGCATGTTGTATAAAATTCAAAAGTAGTTCATTACAAGCTGTGCATGCATTGGCACAAGCATGCTGATTGTTGTCCATGTGACACTGTGGTGTACAGTAAATCAAAGAACAAGATGGAGATTTAAAAAACTGATGCTGCTTTCCTGTTTTGTGTTGAGATGATGACTTATCTATACCTTCTGTTTTCACAGGGCTTGAAGGGAGTTATATATCCCAACAATTTCTCCACAGGCAGAAAGAGCTACTGAAAAGAGGTAAATACGTTGACTGTTATTACACAATTAAGCTGAAGTTGTTCCCAATAAGTTCCAATCAGGATCAGGGCCCTATTGTACAAGGCACTGAACAAAACACATTCTCAGAAAGTCCCTGCTTTGAGGAGCTCATGTAAAGGGCTACCTTTATGAATTCTGACTGAAGGATTTGCCTACAAAGAAATATTAGCTTGCAGAATCCCAGAGCTTGGCTCCCCCCCCCATGCCCAAATGTTTACAGAGACCTTTTTCCATCTCAGAACCTGAGCCCCTGAGCCAAAATCAAATGACTCAGACCAAATGTAGGTATTTTATCCTTATGTATACATTCCCGTAGAGGGAGGTAGCAGTGCACATGACTCGAGGCAGGCAAACACCTCAGTGCTTACAGCTTTGGGAACTTTTACAATAAAAATGAAGGTATCAAGTAAGTTTAGGTATTTACAGTTTTAGGTGGCAGAGGAATGGGGGTCTTGAGGTTAGCCGTGATGCCTTAAACTGGGCTTAGTTGCCATGGTACCTGGTGACTTTTATGGCAAGTGAAGCGCATACCACAAAGGCTCACAAATAGCAATATTTATCCTCCTCCTTGCTGCCTGGGAGGTCTCAGCTCTGCCCCACCAGGGCTTCAGCCTCCCCTCTGCACCTTGTGCTTGCAAGATCCAGTGTCATGGACCCACTCCCTCATTCATCAGCCAGGAGTGTGGAAGTCATCCCCAGAAAAGATCAGGTGCTCATCCTTGTCTTTGCAGTTCTCAATTGAGTCTCTACTCAGCCCAGGACAACTCCAACCTCCCCAGCACCTTGTGGTCTGGTGTCTTGGGACCCTGAGCTATGCAGGGAGCTCCCTCCTGTTCTGCCGTGTCAATGCAGGGAGCCAGTCTCCTGCAGCCCTGCTGTCAGAGCTGGCCTTAACTGATCAGTCTTGCAGCCAGTCTTACTAGGCCATGGCTCCCATAGCAACACACTCATAAAGTGGCAATAAGGCAGCTTCCTGAACCACTATTACCAATACCATAATTTGCCTCTCAGCCATAGCACTACTGTTTCTGGAACCACAGTTTACCACAGAGTTGG